CCGACCCCTCCCGCCCACACACTCTCTTACCTGGGATTACAGAAATTGTTTTCAATGCCCTCAGAACTCTGAACGTGCGCAGAGCTGAGACATTGCCTAGGTTTACAAACTCTGTTATATACCTGCAATGATCAGATCAAAATTACATGGAGACATGGTCATGACTTAGTACTCGATGACTTCCATATGCAGACTAAGATGATCTGTTCCTTAAAAGGTTAAACAGCTTCTAGAGGTGGGGGGAAATTAATGTAGTGTAGTCACAACACAAATTAGAAATGCCAATTATTCAAATATTTTGATTACAAATATTCAAATTTAATTTATAATTTAAACAAAACCAAAAAAGAAAAAGTAATAATAATAATAATTATTATTACTTATTGTTAATACAATTAATATTTTCTTTGTTGAAAGAAAATAAACATACAATGACAATATACATTTAATATATCTTTCAGATAGAATATGTGGGCTAATCATGATTTTTATAATACAATATAATTATTATATTATGAAATATATAATATTTATTATTATTGTTGTTGTTAATAATAACAACAATAATAATAACAGATATTTGGCATAACACAAAACCTAATCTCTGTCTCCCACCCCAATAGCTTTCATAAACAAACATGCTCATATGGTGATATTATTATAAGATATACACTATATCTCACATGAATATGTCTAGTATGTTCTGTATACGGAAAACGGGACAGACAAATAACCCCACCAAAAAAAACAGATACAGTGAAAAATGGAGAATGAGAACTAGGAAGGCAGAAAAAGTCAGTGACAGAGTGAGAGAGAAAGAGTGGAAGAGAGAGAGAGTTTTCTGAGTGGGCTGCTGGGAGTCGTGTTGTTGGTGAATGGCTCTAAACACTGATCAGTAGGAACGATGAAAATTCTCAGAAGAGGTATATTCATAGAACAGCAGAGAGATGAGGAGATAAACAGTCACAAGGACAAATGCAGAGCTGTGAGGAACTGGACAAGACATAAGCAGAGCTGCCACATCCATAAAGATGCTACCTAAAAATGTTCATATGGTTAGAGACAGAAAATAACAGCTGAAAATGTGTTGTTTGCGTCCCCCACATACAGTAAGAGCTCAGTTTACAAACAGTTTTACAAGTATTTCTTTACGTCACCCATTATAAATGAAGCAGAAAATTGCTTTAAGCATATGTGATAATCCTGACCAGTTCAATTACTTATTTTTTATGATTTGATATTAACCGAATGATAGCTCACAAATCAGACAAGGTTCATAATTACATAAATGACAGAATACTTACGCCATTGAGATGACCATGAAATCCAGCCAGTTCCATGGATCTCTAAGGAATGTGAAATCATCTATACAGAATCCACGGGCAATGATTTTTACAGTTGATTCAAATGTATAAATTCCAGTGAAGGTATACCTGAAGGAAAGAGCAAAAGTAACTGGATAAAAAAAATGGAACTAAAATCTGCTTTATATTTTTAATGTGTATATTTATTTACATTTTGTGTGGCAATGGCTTGTTATGAGGCAAGCTGTGGTTAGGATCAATACTTACTCTACTTGTTTGGACCACTCAGGAGGATTACTAAAAGTCATGAACACACAGTTGGTCAAAATCGTA